CACGCGCACGCACCCCTGCCCCCAGTGGTGGCAGCCTTGGAGTCCTACAGTGGCGCTGCCCTCCTTATCCCCCTCGGGGACCCGCCCGGCAGCCGCTGCGCCCCGCCCCTCGCTCTCACCCTTCCGTGGGCCGCGGCGCGTCCCACCCCTCCCCAGCACCCCTTCCCCACACGCGCTCCCGCCGCCGCAGCTCCCCACCCGGCAGACACCCGCGGGCCCTGCCCCTCATCCCCCACCTTCCTGAGCTGGGGGTCCCCCACGTGCTGATTTCGCCCCACCCGGCCACCCAGGGGACCTCGCGTCTCAGGCTTGAAGGACTCAGCCACCAGGCAGGCGGGCTGACGGCGCGGCGTGTTACAGTAACAGGCCTGGGGGACGCAGAACACCCCAAACCCTGTCAGGCTCAAATAAGCCAGCAGGGGCCAGGCCAGGTGCGGCGGGGAGGACGAGCGAGGGGAGAGAGTGGGGGTGCGGAGCGCTGAGGCCAGCTGGGGGCCAGAAGCAAGCGGAAGAACTCTCCTGATTTTTTTTCTTTTTGCTTTTCTTTCTTTCCTTCTTTTTTTTACTTTCTTGAAACAGGGTCCCACTGTGTGGTCCAGGCTGGCCTTGAACTCACAGCGATCCTGCTGCTTCGGCCTCCCGAGTGCTGGGATGACGGGTGCGCGCCGCCGTACCCGGCTCTGGTGGTTTGGAGAAGCTGGGGCTGCGCAGAGGGGCTCCGTGCTTTCTGTCCAATCCGCAGGCCCCACACCTTCACCCCTCTCCCACGCTTCTGGGAAGAAGGTCCTCCGGTTCCCTCCGTGCCCCTGTTCAATTCCCTGAGAAAGCAGCGGCTGGGTTGGAAACGCCCCCTCCCCAGTCCTGGGAGGCCCTGAGCCCCCAAAAGCCTCTAGGCCGCTTGAGAGGCGGTGGGCTGAACGGAGGGCTCCCCAGTCCTCAGCCTCACGGGCAGGCCCGGAAAGTGCTGAACTCGGGGGGCTCTGGCGAGGAGGACGTGGAGGTCGGCCTCTTCCGGGGCCCGGCACTGCCGCGGCAAGCGTCCAGGCTGGCCGCTGGGTCTTCCTCGGAAGTCGTCCTCTTCGCATGTGGAAGAAAAAGAGAACCAAGTGAACTGGGAGGTCAGGACCCAGGGTTTCCTCATGTTCCGGGGCCCCCTCAGCCCGTCAGATCTCACATCACCCTGCACTCTCCATATCCCAAGCTTTTTTTTTTTTTTTTTTTTTAAATCTTTTTGAGACAGTCTCACTATGCAGTTCAGGCTGGCCTCAAACTCGCTTTGTAGCCCGGCTGGCCTCAAACTTGCAGCAGTCCTCCTGCCTCAGCCTCCGGAGTGCTGGAATTACAGGTGTGCACCATCATGCCCAGCAGCCAAGCTTCAACGCCCTGCTCCTGCCTTCCTCTCCACCGAGTCGGGGCCACAGAACCAGGGCTCACATCCCACTCCCATCACTTCCTGTGACCTCGGTTGAGTCACTTAACCCCTCCATGCCTCAGTTTCGTGAAAAATGGGGAGATGCTAGTACCCACCTCCTAGGGTTGCTAAGAGGCTTAAAGAAGTAAAACAGAGGTGTGGTGGTGCCCCCCTGTAATCCCTTCACTCAGGAGGCTGAGGCAGGAGGATGCCCATGACTTCAAGAACAGCCTGAACTACACAGTGAGACCCCGTCTCCAAAAACCAAAAAGAAAAACAAAAAAAGAACTAGTCCACCCCACCTCTCAGGGTGTTACAAAGTTGCCTCCCAGCTCCCCCCACCCCCATATAACAGTAAAAGTTAGACCTGTCAGCTTCTTTTTAATCATTTCGGCAAACCATACAACTTTCTAAATCCTAGAATACTAAAATTGAAAGCAGAAACTCTGGTATTTGCACACCCACGATCACAGCTGCCCTGTTCACAAAACCTTTCACAAAAGGTGGAAGTAACCCAGGTGTCCCTCAGTACAAGAATGGAGTCATAAAATGTGGTCCAGCATAACAGAATATTATGCAGCCTTAGAAAGAATTTTTGGTGGGGTGACGTGGTGTGGTGTGGTTTGGTTTGGAGACAAGGGCTTGCTGTGTAGCCCAGGCTGGCCTTAAATTTACAGTGATCTTCCTGCCTCAGCCTCCTGAGTACTGGGATTATAGGCATGCGCCACTATGCCGTCTCAGTGAATTCGTCTTTATGCCAGCACTGTCTGAAACTTCCGGCCGGATTCTCCACGGGTCCCGGACACTACCTCAGGACACTGTCTGAGTTCTTGTTCCTCCCTGCCTGCCCTTCCCCCACGATACTCTCTTCTGCCTTGGGCTCAGCTGATCCAAATAAATCCTGTGTTTCCTACCGACTGTATCTGCCCTATTCGGCTTCCATCCGCTTCTGCGACTTCAGGTTTCAACAGCAGCGGGACCAAACCACCTTGCCTAGACCAGGGTGGTCCCCTCCACGTTGGTTCCTGGGCGCCCGCTCCGCCCTCCACAACCTGTCCTTCCCCTGGAAGCTGCCAGAGGGCGCGCGTGAGCGTCTGGGGCTCCCTTTGGTAAAGTCAAAGTCCTAGGGCTTGCATGCATCCCCCTCAGAGCGCAAAAGCCACCGCTAAGGGGCGCCCTCTGTAGAGAGAAGCTGGCTAACCTCTTCTAGAGCCACTAAATTCGTGGGTCAGGTATGTCTAAATTTGTAAAAAAATAAAAAAATTATAAAGAACAAATACTAAGGCCGTCGCATATACATCTGAGCAGAAGTATCTGATAGACCCAGGCTTCATCCCACACTGACACTGTGACAGGGAAGAGGACACCTCTCTAAAACGGGAGTCTGCCGGGCGTGGTGGCGCACGTTGTAATCCCAGCACTCAGGAGGCTGAGGCTGGAGGATCGTTGTGTGTTCAAGACCAGCCTGGGCTACAACGTGAGCTCAAGGCCAGCCTGAACTGCATAGCGAGACCCTGTCTCAAAAAGACAAAAATAAATAGATAAATAAATAAATAAATAATAAAAGGGGAGTTCGACTGGGCATCGTGGCACACGCCTGTAATCCCAGCACTCAGGAGGCTGAGGCAGGAGGATGGCTGCAAATTCAGAGCCAGCCTGGGCTACTTAATAATGAGTTCAAGGCCAACCTCAACTACATATTAAAACCCTGTCTAAACAAACAAACAAGAGTTTTGGAGCCCAGCATGGTGGGTCACGCCTCTAATCCCAGCACTCAGGAGGCTGAGGCAGGAGGAGCCCCACAAATTCAAGGCCAGCCTGGGCTACATAGTAAGACCCTATCTCAAAAAAACAGAAAGAAATGGGTTGCGACGCTTCTCCCAACTGGAAACTCAAGCGGAACATTAAGCTGAAGTCCTGAAACTGAACAGAAAAACAAGCCTTCCTTGTACCCGGAGGGCCAGCGTGGATCATGGACTCACAAGGCTCCCTCAGAGAGCCCACATGAGGTCACCACGGATCCTCCGTCACCATCCTGAGGGTGACGCCAGAGTGTACACAACCGGAACGGCATCTCAGCCCCGCAAGTGACAGCCCTGGCCCTTCATTCCCCTGGGGTTTCTAGAGCCGACCCCGAGCGCAGGCCAAGTCCAGGTTCCCTGCCTCCGGGCGTTTCCCGACCCCGAGTCAGCACGGGGCCCAGCCTGGTGCGCCCCCGCGCATGGTAGCGCCATCAGCAGGACGCGGTGACAGGCAGAGCGGCCACTCACCTCAGAGATGGCAAACAGGGAGTTGTCGAACGACATGTCTGAAACAGAGAGAGAGAACCAACCGGGCTGGCTTCCGCATCCCCGCCTGTTCCCCCTGTCCCACGGGGTCTCCCAGCAGCCCCTCCGCTCCCGGCTGCCCATTTGCAGGCCTGGTGTAGGCTGAGCTGCAGGCTGACCTATTCCCTTTGGGCCTTCTCCTCACATCCCCAGGGAAAACGAGTGCCTGTCAACTCCTGCCCCGCTGAAGGAGTCCACAGGGGATCCCCCCGCTGGTTTGATCACCCCCTCTTCACTCAGCCACGCCCACTTCTTCTTTTTAGACAGTCTTGAAATGTAGTTTAGAACATAAGTTCCTGCCGATCCTCCTGTCTCAGCCTCCTGAGTGCTGGAGGACAAGTTGCGCCACCACACCTGGTCCTACTCAGCTCCTCTTCCAGGCGGCTTCTTCTTAACACTACCACCTCTGAGGACTGCCCCTGCCCCCGCCTGCTGCCCCATCTCCACCTGTGGACAGAGACCACAGCTGCCTTGTTCACTGCAGGAGCCTCCCAGATCTCAGCACATAGTAAGTGCTCAATAAATGTGTTGACGCAGGTGTGGGTACACACCTGTCAATTCAGCACTCTGGAAGGCTGAGGCAGGAGGAGAGCAAATTCAAGAGCAGTGTGGTCAAGTTAGAAGCTTAGTGAGAGCCTGTCTCAAAATAAAACTTTAAAACCTGCTGGGGCCTTAGCGTGAAGGCCCTGCGTTCAACCTCTAGGATCACCAAAAATGAGTGAATGAATGGAGTTTCTGTGCTATGCCTCCTGCGGAGCACTTTGCACTGCACAGACTAGCTGCCCGCCGCGTGGCGTCAGCAGGATGGTGTGTTCTGGAAGGCACATGGGCTCCATTCCCACCAGGGACGTCCAGTAAGCCAGATAGTCATGACCCAGCCCGCACTGTAACTGGCCACCCAGTAATGGAGTCAAGTGAGTATTAAACACACAAACACTGGGTGATTACTTGATTGAGTTTCTAGTGGGGCATGGTGGCACATGCACACCTGTAATCCCAGCACTTGGGAGGCTGAGGCAGGAGGGT